TCGGGAGCAGCTTGCGATAATGCAACGGATACAACATATGTTACTAAATATGCAAAAAGGTAATTCACTCTCCAATTCTCCGACTAACCATAATGCGTCGGATGAAAATACTCATATGTGACATGTAGCTCCTTCATCACAATATCTTCTTCTTCTTCTTCTTCTTCTTCTCCTTTTTTTTTATAGATGTTCTGTTTTTATTGGCTTAAATATTAATACATTTTAATATATTTTGGTCTTTAAATATATATTAGATTAGATTTTATATATTATAACGAATTCGTATTTTTTATAATTCTTTTTCATACTCGTTATTGTAGTTGTTAAATTGGATTGGATTTTATATTTCTTATTAGTGACATGTGAACGATGAAAGAATTGACTAAAAATATCATATAAAAAAATGTAGCGACGGTTTAAATCCGTGGCTAAATCCAAGCTAAATTTTTCCATAATTAGCGATGGTTTAGGTAGACCATTGCTAAATAGAAGCTACATTTAGTGATAGTTTAATGACGGTTTTTTTAAAAAACCATTGCTAAATTGGCAATTTATTTCTCAATTTTTAGTGACGATTTTTTTTTAGCGATTGATAAATCATCTCTAAATTAGCAATGAAATTCTAAAAATCGTTGCTAATTAATTAGCAAGAGGGTTTTTAACAACGAGTTTTTAACCATCGCTAATTATAATTAGCAACGATTTCTTAAATTTAGCAACTCGTTTAAACCATTGCTAAATGATTACTTTTTTTTTTTTTTTTGATAGTGGTAGACATGTTAGGCAAGACAATGCAGTCAAATTTTCATTAATCAAAACTAAAAAGATTAAAAAAATCAAATTAGTACACTTTGGAATATATATCGTAAATAATGGGAAAGTGAATTCATTTTGATTTTGAAAAACAAATCTAATGGGGAGTATGTTAATAGGAAAAAAAGAGTAAATTATAAATTAGTCTCTTTACTTTTGTAAAGCAAATCAAATAGTCTCTTTTGTTTCAAAAATTAATTATTTAACCTTTTGATCAATATTAACAATGATTAATTTAATATTATTTTATTTTTAAAAAATATCTTATTTTCTTATCAATTTTTTTATATTTTTTACTTTTTTTCTTTTTCTATCTATTAAATATATATATATATATATATATATATATATATATATATATATATATATATAAAGATGAAAAGGATTAAGTTACAAATACATTTTAAAAAATAAGGACTAATTGATTAGTTATTGAAACTAGAGGTACTATACAATTTATTTTGAAAACCTTGATATAATTTACTCTGGGAAAAAAAGTGAGGACCGAAACTGACGAAATTCAGTAGATCTTTTTAATTTATGGTTTTATAATTGTTTCTGATAATTGGCATTATAATAGAAAAAAATTGTACTAACTCTCTGATCATGCAGATCCCTCCATTTCCGCAAAGCAAGTCCTCCCTCCGATGTTTTACAATGGTTGTTTTTACATATTGTGTGTGTTTTTTGTTTTTTGTTTTTTTTTGTGAAACACTGTTTTTTAGTATATTTGGATGATCAATTACTTTATACGGATATTCTTAAATCAGTTCTGAAAATAATAGAAATTTTCTTTTTTGGTAGAAAGCAGATTGTTCCTTAAATACATGTCTATTGGCTTAAGGGTCACATTTGACGATTTTCATAATGAATCCTACTGTTTAGGCTAGAATAGGCCTTTCCTTTACTTGAATTAGCATCGATTATAAACTTTTTTTTGAGTCATATTGTCTGCCAATAATGTCACAGGGCTACCAAAAACACTAATTCAAAGCTATAGAACAGGAGACATCCGTTTTAAAAGTCTAACGTTCGACCTCCTTAATTTCCTAGATTAACTAGATATCAGGTGTCAGTGAACATTGTGGGCCACAGTCTGGTTATTTTTTTTATTACATAAAAATAATCGTAATAACAGCAACGAAAAATGGATGTTGGCACCTTCTCAATTTTAAATGAAGTTTTGTTTGTTTGTTTTTTTCTTTTTATGTAAAAAAAATAAAAATAAAAAAATCAATTTGCGTATACAAGTCAGTCTGGAGCATTTCTTATAGCGCATGATCTAATTAATTACATATAGACAATAATTTCATTATGTTTCTTAAACAATGATGACTAATGAATATAGGAGTGTATAACTAACAAAACATAATTGATTGCAATGGTTTCTTAGCTCAAACGGTTCATGTTTCTGCACTATCAGGCGTTAAATTAATAATAATGAAACAATAATCAGTATATACTTTACAGTTATCTACAGAAGCAATTCTTTTTCCACAGGTTTGGTGAAACCTGAGGTTGCAATTATGTACTTCGTCCTTACTTTTGTTTGTATTTTTGTTCTTAGGTACACTCACAAATTAAAAATGTTCAAACTGTTTCAAGGGTATACAATTATCTTTTTACGGTCTGAAAGATTTCAATGTTAAAGAAATGTTGAACATGTTTAGTACAACGTTACAGGTCCTCTGTATCTTCAGAGAAATAAAAAGAAGAAAAAATGCAAGATTCGGCAATCAAATGCACAAACTGTACTAACCAATTGAAATGAGAACAGCTAGCAGAGCACCAAGACTTATCACCGTCTTGGTTACGGGGATAGGTGTTGGTACTCTGCTAGCTGTTCTCCTTTCAACTTGTTTATGTTGTCTTTTTTTGGTGTTCCCATTTGAGCCTTGACCTTAGTTGTCCCACATTCCGATACTGTATTTTAGTCACCATCTTCTTTCGGCTACTTGGCCCATTCTTTCCCATTTTTTTCTGTCTTTTACTTCTTCTTCGATAAGTAAAATCACGGCAGACATTTCATTCACAAGAATCGATGTTTTCCCATTTTTCTTGCGAAATAAAAACTAAATAATCAAGTCATTTAATTCAAAAAGTAAATACTACCAGACCAGCAACTAGCTAGAAGGGACAAAATTAAACTATAAAGCTTGTAAAATTTCAAAATGCCAGCTCTGTTCATACAATTCATATGGGAGTATAATATTTTCAACCGAATGCTTGGAAGCTTCTCTCCTTTTGTTTTTAATATTCCCAGCTACTCTCACACTGTCCCTGCCGTGTCCGAAGTATTAAATGATGCAAATTCTGTCAGGCAATTTAATATCTTCGCCAGAAGGTACTGCATGTGTGAATTATATTCTTATGGAGCTAGGTTGTGTGTTTCCCTTTATTTTTTAATAGCCATGCAATCATATAATCGTTGCTTTTTTCCAGAATTTTATTTCCTATTAGAAGATACCCAAAGAAAATTATTAACAATGTCCATTCGAGTGTTCTTGCCTACTGATTTTTGTTTTCTGGGGAAGTTAAAGAACGCACCTAAACAAAAAATTGATATCTTTGAATTTAGAGTGCCGCAGACTGCAAGGTTTCAGTTATGGTTACCAGTGGATGGACTTTCATATGGCTTTTTCTTTCAACATAATCATATAGGTAAACTCTGTGAAAAAAAAAAAAAAAAAAAAAAGAGAGAGAGAGAGAGAGAGAAGAAAATTTGGACTCCAGTTTAATCCTTGAGAAACTGAATTAAGGAAGGAAATGATTTAGGTTTCTCCCTTTTTTTTTTTTTAAGCAGAAAAGGAAAAGGCTGGATGTATTTCCAAAGCACGCAGTCATGCTCATATATATATATATATATATATATATATATATATATATATATATATATATATATATATAATTGTCAAAAAGAAAAAAAGAAGAAGCAAGAAGCATGACATCACACTTTTAATTGTAAGTTGCAAACTGCATGATTATTTCTTTGTCCAAAAGATTGAACAAATTAATTCCAGAAAAACTCCTGGAAGCGTAAGCTAAAATATTTTGGAAATTGGAAAAGCTACATACCAAACACTGTAAAACCTTGATGAAGGAATTTGCAAAGTACATAAAGCGGCTAGAGTCACAGTAATCAGTGGCAAGTTTCCGTCACAGCTCAATTCTCAACTTTAGATTCACTTGATATGGTCCATCCAAGATTCCAAATATGACAATCACTTGATCATCGTGATCCTTAAGACCACAGAGCTGTCCTGTCAAAGGTCTCCCACCGACCCAATCACATTTTAGTCTTAACTTTTTTTTCAAGCCTTAGTTTTTATATGAACTATTCATTTAATAATTTAAAAGGTTTTGCTTGACGATTCACAAATGTGCCATGTCTCCCACTAATTTCCCCAGAATTATAATAATACCTGCTCCATGCATTACGGTCGTTAATCATGTACTCAGTTATTCAAACATGTATCAACCATTTCTGGGTCTGGGTTAAATGGGGTACATGATTAGATGGTGCAAAATCAATCACCTAATGAATGAGCCCACATATTACGTTCCCTCCTTCTTCTACACTACTTTTTTTTTTTTAAAAAAAAAAAGATATTCAAATTTGAGTTTAAAATCTTTTCCTATTCCATTTTAAACATTGATGGATTCATAAAAAAATATTTCTTTTATAATTTTAAATTAAAACACATAAGATGAGAATCATATGCACTGATAAACCAACAAATCCTCTAATTTTCTTAATGCACTATAATACTATAATGAATCACACCTAAAATGAGATTAATTATGTGGTCTAATATAGTATGCTTGAAGGAAATATATATATATATATATATATATAGGTAGCCTGCAGCACTTACCTTGTTACCAAAAGGGAAAGGCAAGAAAGAGATAGATTTTCTTTTTCTTTATTTCCCGCGCTTTAAATCCGACTTTTTTTTGTCTTTTTAGTATTTTATCTTACCTTAAGCCCACCTCTATCTCTGGCTCCGATCTGTTAGTCAAAATTTGTGTCTGCTTTTCTTTATTATGAGATAAACAACAGTCACCTGTTACAATCCCCAAGATCCCTTTTTCGTTCTTTGTTTTTCTCAAACCAAAAATCACTCAAAAAAAATCTCATGACCTAAACCCCATCCACGGTCTTCATTTACTTTCCGATATCTAAAATTATGGAGACAATCAAATGTAGATCACTCCCAAACAACAAGAGCAAGATAGCAAGAACATTCCAAAAAGTTATCAACCTCAAGACTGCAACAAAAATTGCTTCAAATAATGGGATTGGCATTTGTATGCTAACACCGCACAACAAGTTTGATCAAGATGATTCAAACACCACCTACAAACCTCAAAACACCAAAGATAGTCACAAGAAGAAAGATGCTAGGGCCAAGCGCAGATCAGTCTTGGAGGCATTGTTGGCAAAGCTATTTGCAAGCATTACTACAATTAAAGCAGCTTATGCAGAGCTACAAATGGCTCAAAATCCTTATTGTAGTGATGCTATACAAGCTGCAGATCAGGCTGTTGTCGATGAATTGAAACAGTTATCAGAACTTAAGCGTAGTTTTTTCAAGAATGAGCTTGACATTTCGCCACAGGTTACTGTGATGCTGGCAGAGATTCAAGAACAACAGAGCTTAATGAAGACCTATGAGATCACAATCAAGAAACTGGAATCAGATGTTGAGGTTAAAGGTTCAGACATTAGTTCACTCACGAAACAGCTTGACGAGGCTATTGCATTTAACAAGTCTCTTGAGAAGAGACTAAATGCAAGTGGGCCATTATCAATGTTTGACAACATTCAATTTTCACTCCTAAACCCAACCCATTTTGTTCAATTCTCGCATTATGCTTTAAGATCCATGAGGAGTTTTGTGAAATTAATGGTTCGTGAAATGGAGGTAGCCCATTGGGATATTGAAGCAGCTGCAAAAGCAATTGAACCAGAAAACACTGTTTTTGCAAAGCCAAGCCACAGGTGCTTTGTCTTTGAATCTTTTGTGTGCAAGACAATGCTTGAAGGTTTCAATCATCCAAATGAAGAGCATCAGAGTGAACACTACTACTTTATTGAATTCAAAAAGCTAAAATCTTTGAACCCAAAACAATTCTTGACTCATCATCCAGACTCATCATTTGCAAGATTCACAAGGGTCAAGTATCTTCAACTTGTCCATGCGAAAATGGAGTGCTCTCTGTTTGGGAATTTAAACCAGAGAAAGCTAGTGAATTCTGGTGGATTCCCAGATTCTGCTTTCTTCAATGCATTTGTTGAGATGGCTAGGAGGGTATGGGCCTTGAATCTCTTAGCTTTCTCATTTGGTGAGGATGTTAGTATTTTTCAAGTAGCCAAGAATTGCAGATTCTCTGATGTCTACATGGAGGCTGTAACCCAAGACTCAGTATTAGAAACTACCAATTCTGATACTGATCTCCGGGTGGCTTTCACCGTGGTTCCTGGATTCAAGATTGGCAAAACTGTGATACAGAGTCAAGTGTATTTGTCTCCGGTGAGTCCTTGATTTTCCTTATTTTGTTTTGTACAATTTTGTAATATAATTTTAGACGAAAAGGGAGTTCCATCTGTTCCAGTGATTTTTACAAAAACCTTGGTTTATGGTAGACCAATCAAATTATTTAGCCAATTTTAATCGATTTGGTCTAACGTAAACTGAGTTGTCATATCAAATCCTGCTGTAAAAAAAGATGGTGATAAGTTCATGTACTCTCTAGCTAGTGGGGCTTCTCAATTTTGCAAAAGATTTGATCTTCACTCGAAAGGTGCGGTTAGTCAGTTAGGCATGGAGGCGCGTGGAGTGGCGCGTGAATTTAGCCCGGTGCATGTACCTTGCTGCATAAGGGAGCATGGGATATGTGGACCCACCTTTCAAAAATGGTGTATGTTCATGTCTTTGTATTATTGTAATAGAAAATCAAATGGTGCGAGGAGGAGAAAATGGAAATTATCTTCGTGAATTTTGTTTTCTGTATGTCTATAAGGTCAAAAAATTTTAAGAGAAATGCATTGCATAGTGACTTAAATTCAATATTTTAATAACAACATGCTTTTTCTTTGCAATTATGGGGTCATAGCCTTGGAGAATCTGGCAAGACTGGTAGTGTTGGCTAGCTGTTGGATTGCTATTAGTTTCCTTTGGTAGTGCTTTCAGCCAGGTAGGGCCGAGTACTGCAAAGCTCTAGGTGACAGCCATAAAATGCCATTTTCCTTTAGCGAGCTGGGCTATGAGCTTAAGGCCGTATTTAGAGAGTTCTGAGCGATGAGCATAGCTCACGAGCTGTGTGTCATAACATTGCCTGCATCTGTTTGACTGCTAGCTAATATGCAATCACTTCCTTTGGGGACCAAATCTACATGACATAACTCTAAATGTGGTACATCTTCTTGTTTCATGCATTGGATTTTGAACCCCTGTGGTCCTATGTAGATTTAGATTTGCCTAAAATGAAGAAAATTTTGGAACCAAAAGCTGTGTCTCCTATGTAAGGGGTGCAATAACCCACATGGTAAGATATAAATAAGGATGTTGAATATTAAATAATGAGGGAGACAAGCTTCAGCACTTAAATGTCAATCAATAATTTTATTCAAGGTAGATACAGCATGTCAAGAAATTAATAATTAAATTGATTAAAGGATCCAATTGAGAAATTCAAAAAATATTTCTCAATTGTATTCCAGACTAATAAATTAATAGATAAGACCAAAGAAATAAGGGGAAGCCTTAGTCCCAAAACCGATATACTTATTCTCAATTGTATTCCAATTTTCAAATATTTTTTGAATTTCCCAATCGAATCCTTTAATCAATTTCTTGTGATATTTAAAGTCTAACATACACATTTTATTTACTAAAACGAGATCAATTTGAAAAAAAAAATTGATAGAAAATTAATAAATAGTAGTGTTAGTGTTCTATATTTGTATTTTATGAACTAAACGATGTCGATTTAAAGAAAAGATGATGAATATTAACAAAGAAATCTTGATTGTGAATTTTTGAAACATTTGGAATTCAATTGATAGTATTTATAGATTTGAGCCTTAATTGATAATGAATATATACGTTAAGGGCTAAATTGAGATTTTCCCAAGAAATAAAGAGATGGGTACTTGTGGCACTGTTCAAGCTGGCATCGACCAGACCGCGAAGCTGCTTCGGCATTTTCAAATGGATTTCAGCGTACGTAAGACAGGCCTTCTGTCTTCTCCCGTGAATGGGTCAGGACCTCGCCCCTCCTTTCTCCGTCTATGCTTTGAGAGGGAAATAATAATAATAATAATAATAATTTAATGACAAAAATTGCCCTCATTTAATTTTTTTATTGTCAAATTGTATAATTTAAATTTTAAAATATCAGTTTTTGGATAATTTTAATTTTAATTTTTATTATTTGTAATGATCAATTAGATGGATCATTAAAAAAATGCTAAAACAATATCTTTTTATATATTCAGTTGTTAATTTTTTATTTAAAAAAGAAATTTAGAATTAGGAAGGTTAAAAATAAAATAATTTTTTTTAAAAAAAATGAGATTTATTTATAACTTAGCCTTTTGTGTTTATTTAAACTAATTAATTATTATCTATAGAACCAAAAAACAATTAAATGGTCCATTGATTAGCATTCACTATCTTCAATTTAGTAGTTTTTGTTTTGAGTTTTCCTTCTTTATTAATCAAATCTTCTCGTTTAACTATTTATATTTTTTTATTTTCGATTTTTCAAAAAATAAAAAAAGGAAAAAATATGAAATTGATGAAAAAATGAAGTTATAAAATGATTTAAGGGATTAATCTATAGTTTTTAAAATCTCAAAGACTAGTTAATTAGTTTCATTAAACAATGAGATCTAGCTTATATTTAACTTGTAAATAAGAATATAAGAGGCAACATAGGGGAAAAAGTATCCCTGTCTAGTTTTAAGAAACAAATTAATTAGTCTCTTTTATTTTAAAAGTTAATTTTTCAGTTCTTTCATTAGTGTTGATTACATTTAATTTAATATAATTTTAATTTAAAATTTATATTATTTTCTCATCAATCTTTTCATAACGGAGGAGATCCTTAAGATGTCTGTATACAAACGCAATATCCAACAAATAACAATTTCCATTGAACACTAGAATTGTCAAGTTGAAAGGTAACTTTTTTCTTAGTGAAAAATTCGAAAAGAGGACTTGAATCATGTTTAATTTCAGAAAGAGGAGGAGAATGCCGATTCTATATCCATCAAATAACATCTTTCTATTGAACACTAGAACCCCCTCGGGCCGGGTAGACACAAGGCAATATATTTATAGCCCAATACAGATACTTGGGCCTTTAGCCAGTTGCTTTCAACAGCAGCCCATAAACAAGCACAGCCCAAAACAAAATAAACACATTTCAGCCTGGACCACAAAAGTCCATAGAACGACCCCTTCACTTGGCACCGTGGAGGCACCCGATGCCTTGCCCAGTGCCTGCCCGCCTGCCTGTCATGGCACCCTTCTCGCATCCAATGGACACATGTGACATGTCCGTGAGAGTTGCTGCAGGTCGTACAGACCAATTACTATTTTTAATATAATTTTTTATTTGTTTTAAATGACTAATTTGTATACACATGTTTTTAATTTATTAATTTTCAATCTAATAACTCTAAATAAAATAAAATAAAATTATTTTTACATTTTAATTTATCATGTACTAAAAAAATATTTACTCTCATCATGAATTTGTAGTATATATCCATTTAATATGGTAAAATCAAGTTATCCCTACATTCTTAAAGGTTTCTTTTTCTTTCTTAAATTGGGTAAATTCTAATCTAGTTTTTCAATATAAAATATTTTAAATTTTATTTATTAAAATATTCTGGTTTTTGCCATATAACCATCCATGCTATCTTTTTCTCTTACCGATTAAATTGAAATGTTTGAATACCATAGGTTCTAAATTAAAACTCTACCATTATCTTCAACTTTAAACAAGTAACGGCTCAATCCATTCCAAAATAAATAATGGATGTGTTAAAATAGATCCAAGTAGAAACTATGGATTTTCAAGCTTTTTTTTGTAAATCCTAAAATTGCAGATCATGATGTCAAAAACTGAATAAAGTGTAAGTTAATCTAAAATAACCTAATAAGCATTATGTTCATCAACCACAACATCTTGTAAATTTAATATTAAAAAATCTATTTTAAAACAATCTTAATTTTCAATAATCCTTCACGGTAAATCGCAATCAATAAACATCTTTCACAACCATTTTCAATTCTCCAAAAAACATGTTATAAACATATAATTTCTTTCCCTATAATGTTTTTGTATTCCTTTGCTTTGACTAGTTAAAACGTCGTAAACACATCCTTAGAATGTTCGATTAAGGTGGAGATAGATCAAAATTATATTAGCGAGGACTTTTGGTAAACGTATCCGATAAGTACTTTCTAAATCAAATTAGGTAGTAGATCTCCGCTTAGGGGTGAGCCATGGAGACTTACTCTATCTAATTTGTTTGTTACTTGATTAATTATGGATTTAGTTAAAATTTCAGATCTGAATAGTTTTGGTCTTCATACTAATAACCAAAGTTATGAATTTTAGATTGATCTAAAATTTTGAAAGTATTTATTCAAGGGGTTATTTTAACTCCTTTTGAAAAATATATATTTGCTTATGCTTTGTGGATATCAAAATCATTATAATTTCCGAACATATTTTGTCCAGATTTTTTATCGCTTGAAACCCAAGGCTAAGACACTTGGATTGACACTGAAATTTGGTGTGCATATACTTATGGATAGTGTATAGGCTTAAAAAAAATCATCCAAATTTGAATTGTTTTACTTGGTTGTCGGATATACCTTAGATTCGGGTTTAAAGATTTTGTGGTTTGGTGATTTTAGGTTTGTGTGTGTTTATGACTGAGGTTTTTCTTGATTTAGAATTGGATCCGTGATTATGGTTGTTTGATGTCATATTAGAGTATATTCGGTGATAATTTACACATTGGGTATTTCGGCCTAGGGCTTTTATCACGACTTCGAGAGTGGGCCATGAACGATGCGAGAATCGAGGATCGTGAGGCCCACCTCGACCTCGACAAACCTTGGACACTAATTTAAAAACCTCGAAATATCATTATCGGACTTGTACTATAGTCCTTAATTCAATATCACCCAAATTATCATTAAATATTAACATAATCATAACTTAATAAACATTTCTTCAACATTAATACATCTCATAAATTTCATATTATTCTCATTTCAATATTCAAGATTAACATTCTTAATCAAATCTTAATACACTACCCATAGCTATAATTGTAAAACATCTAAGATTTCAATTTAGGATAAACATAGGTTCTAAAAAAATTACAAGGAAAGGAGCCATATAGTCAAGGTGTCGACTTCAAATCAAATAGCCAAGAGGAAACAATAAGCAATCCCTCAATATCCTATAAGACTAAACTAATAAGGGGTGTGCAAGCTACAACTCAATGAGTAGA